TTTCTTATAAAACGACTAAAACGGATTGACAGTGTTAATCCACTAAAGATTATGGGGAAGAAGGAAGAAGAAACTGATCATCAATTCCTTCAGGTGCTTGCTACACTGTCATTGCATATTTTATTTCCCTTAATTTGAATAGGGGGAAATTTGAAAATAATGCAACCCTGCAAGTTGGAGGAATAAGGGGCAAAGAGAATGAATTCATGGCCATCTCACTGCATTCGGCTTCCGTAGATTTGAAGGAGAATGATACACTGCAGTCCACAGGAGGTGTGCATGTTCCCTTTGGGTATGAAGCAGTCTCTGGAGTTTTCACTTTCATTTTTCCTTGTGGCCGTGGTTGCCGTAAGTTGAGCCTTTGTTTATTTCCGTAACTCCTATCATCCATCGACTACCAACAGTAGCTGAAATAAGAAGAAGAATAGGATAGTTTCATTAATCACCAGTCAAGAGAGAAGTGCAGCCCACCACAAGTCTGCCTTCAGGCATTCAGAAGAGCCGAGTGTGTTATCTTTTAAACAGCTAAACACCTCAGAATGCTATGTGAAGAAGAATGAGCACCACTGACAATTTGGGATGTTGTGAGAAAAACCAAACATTTTAATCTGAAGTACAACTGGCCAACAGCTAATAGGCCTAAACCTGATGAGAGCAGAAGTGCAACTCTGCCAGCACTCAACGAGTTGGTGGATGAATAGGAATGTCTTGGCCTAGCACTAGTTCACAATAATTCATGCATATGCCATCTGCTAAGCACACAAGTTAACTGTTTTAAGTTCCAAGTGTTAACATTTTATTATTGTACCTTGCAGGAATAGTGCCAACTGAATTTTAGTCTGCATGCAGGTATCTTAGTACAAATAATGGTATTTCTATAAGGCATTTTTTTAAAAAAGAGAAAAGTATAGTTCTTCCCTTCAGTGAACTCATAAAATGGAACCCAGATAGGCCAGCATGATGAACCTGTAAACAACTGTCAAAAACTTTTTGACACCGCAATGTTTATTTTATCGTTCAGCTGTAAAATCCTTAAGCAGTTATGTGCATATACCAGTAAGGCTACATTCAGTCACAACTTTTTCTCAAAAAGTCAGCATAGGCTAAGAAATAGAGAGAACTCTTTGACTGGAATCTGCCATATTATATGATTGTCCAGAAACTCTGATCGTACAGACTTCATGACATGTCACCATAACTAGCTTTCTAGAGCAAAGGACTAGCCACCAAAGGTATCCAAGTATGAAAACTGGAGACCATAACATACAGATCCAGTCTGTACTTTTAGAAAATCACATCTACCTCATTTAGTTTTCCAAGGACCTAAATAGATAGATGATCAAGTTAAGTTACACCTGTGAGCATAAGAACTGCAAGCAGAAAATACATTTGGCTTGTACAAATAATTCCACAAGTGGCATGCAAGCCTTAAGACAACCTGTGTGCCAGACAGGCTCACATACAGTGCTGCAGTTTTCTTCACCTGTGGCTTTTACATGCTAAGGTGGCTGTTGGTGTTCCATATTAATAAAAAGGCCACGAGATCCTGGCAATTAAGCCATAGCCTCCCAAACTGAAACTGCTGCTGCTCAGGGCTATAGCAGTGGGCTCTGAAGAATCCCACTTTGACAAGTCAGTTTGTGAGACATAAGGAATCCAGCTAAGTAGTCCTTGTGCGGTGATTTTTGCAAACTTGCATCCATGGCTACAAAAGTTGAAGAGTTAAAAAAACTAGAGCACAATCAAGGCAAAACCAAGGACTTTGGTTTATGTGGAAGAGATTCTACTATATGCCTTTCTCCCACTGAAACCAAAGGGAACTTTGCATCACTATTTTCAACTGCATCATGCACCTCAATCTCTAAAACAACATCCTTAGGAAGACAGGTCATAATCAAATATTAAAACACAGCAAGGAGAAGAACGTAACAGTGAGCATTAGGTCATTCTAGTCTAGCATCCTGTTCTCACAGTGGCCAACGTGATGCCAATGGCAGCCCCACTGGCAGGCCGTGAGTGAAACAGCACGCGCCTGTGGTTTCAAGCAACTGGTGTTCAGAAGCATACCACCTCCAACCGTGGAGCCATGGAGAGCATTATCCTCCATGAATTACTCTAATTCAAAAAGATACTTCCCTAAATCAGAATACTCCTGTTACAATCAGCACAATTCAAAATCCTGTCCAACTACTCAGTACTCTGCAGGGTCAGTGAATGCAAGAAACCTACAGTTTGGCCACTCTGAACTGGACAGGAATGCAAATCGCCCCCTGGCATTCCCAATCCCCACCACCGCGAAATAGTAGCAACATAACCTATATGCTATTCTGCAAAGGCACAATCTAACCATAAGTCACTGGCATTGCCCAGTTTTTGTTCTCAGTGAATTCCCATGCAATTGACCATGATAATTGCTGCAGCAGACCCTCAAGTGCCTCCAGCCTAGTTTCCACACTGAGACATGGCTCTGTTCAGGCCTTTTCTCAGCCTCAAGGCTGTTCTTTCTTCAGCTACACTGGATATGGGGCAGTTTGCAGCATGTCACTGTTTTGCTATAATTAAGAAACTTGCCCATATGCCATCCCCAGGGTATCAAGTTAATAAATGAAGTCACCTTTCAAGATAAAGAGGAAACAAAGCAAACCGGGAAGAAGTTATGCTCTTGGATGCTTTAAACAGGAACCTCAATTGTTATCGATTTTTAAAAAAATGTAATTGGATTTTCGGCGGCAGCTTAGTGGAGAAGAGGAATGAAAGCACATGTTCAGCCACCACAGTATCCAACCCCACCTCCATCACACCATGCTAGCATCCTTTGGAGAGTCTTGGCTACTGGATAAGCTCAAGCAATTTGACTTACTAGCTTCAAGCCTTCTCCAAGGTCCTTAACCAATAGTCACCTAGCAGGGTCCTAGAAACGAGGGAAGAGAAAGAAGAAAGAAAGAAAGAAAGAAAGAAAGAAAGAAAGAAAGAAAGAAAGGGAAAGAAAGGCACAGACACATCCATGCACAATTCAAAGACACATGTTCATGCTCATATAAAAACACATTCTATCAAGGCTGACGTTGCTGAAAGGAGCTGTGCTACTTAGGAGAAATGGCTCAGGGGAAGATCCACCTAAGGACTGTTACCTACCTAACAAGCTACTGAATCAAATACCCAGCCTCTCTCTTGCTTTGGCTAAAAACCAAATATTTCAGGTACCAGAGATGGAAGGAAGAGGGGAAAGTGCTAATAAGTAACCAGAAGAATGACATGGGAGGTAGGTCCCAAAAGGTAGGGAAGAAAAGGAAACCGTATCCAGAGTCTCCTTTCCTCCCTCCACCTGCCTGGGCATTTTCGGACAGAGATGGCTGAGGCAGGAAGGCCACAATCCAGCTAAAGTGAATCGGAATTCACAAGGCAGTTCCCATTGTAAGACAGAGCTGACCCACTGAAATTAATGGCCATTACTAACTTGGGTAATCAAGTTCAGTTGGCCTACTCTGAGCCAAACTTGGTAGCATCCAACCCACATTGTTTTCAATCGGGTTTAATTTAATTGTAACTTGCTTCATCGGTTTCAGGGGGATTCAATAATTACAAACTTTAGCTGGATCGAGACTTAACGTGAACTGTAAACACACATGGCTATTCCCATAGCAGTAAGTAATCAGAAGGGGGGGGGGGAGAAAACCCTATACCCTCCACAAAAGGATCCACCAGCAAATTCAGGGATTGGCACAGACCTAAAGGCCCCCCGTAGTCTATAATGCCTGATCTAAAACCCAATATTATGCTGTTGACATTCAACACTCCACCGTGGACACTGAATGGCTGGAAATACCCAGTCGCTGATTGGCAGAGTGCATGATATTAGAGGAAGTCTTCACTTCAAAGAAAAGGTATTTCTGGAAACTAGAAGCACACATGACCCAATTCATAGGCAGGTATGCAGAAAATAAAAATCAGGTTGATATACTGGACAGAACATACACTTTTTTTCTTCCTGATAACAGCTATCTACCCTTGCCATTCACATATGTACTCAAACTGAGTTGTGCAGCTGTTTTCCTAGAAAGAGGCTCTTCCTGTGCTGGCCACCAGATGGCTTCTGCAACTTTCTCTGCAACATGTTTACTATTAAGCAGGAGATCCTGTCAAAGCCTTGTGGAAATAAAATGCATTTAATTGCTCCACCTCTTTTATCAGGAATGGGGAAGATGTAGCCCTGCAAATGTTGGACTCGCATCCTTGAACATTAGCCGTTCTGGCTGTGACTGATGGGACCTGGAATCCAATATGGGCGGGCCACAGGTTCTTCAGCCCTACTTTACATTGCAACCTAAACCCCCTGCTTCCCTCCCCCTGTCATAACATCTAGTGGAGCTCAGGTGGTTTGTCATGGTAGCAGAGAGAGCTGGGTGACCCAACATATTTGCCATTCACAGAACTACTTTGGGTGGCTTCTCAGAAAGACAGGACCAGCTAACCAGCTTCCAAAACCGGTCCCTCACTCCAGGGAGCTGCCACCATTCTACTAGCCGGATAAAACAGGGATACAAGACTGGCACAAAACAGAAGCAGGACTAATGTAAAGTCCAGGCATGTGTTACACTATCCTGCTGCTACATACCCTCAGACATTTCCTATTCAGCTCGGTATCACTCCTTAAGATTTGAGCGGGAATGGCCTTCACTTTGGGAAGAAGGAGAAGGTTGATTTTTAACATGGATCATTAAGACTTTGCATGGCCAAGTATAATGAAATTTGGAACTCATATAAAATACAGTACGGTAAAAAAAATGTTATTAACTGTTAATAATCGTTATAATGATATACTAAACCTTTCCCCCTTTCTTATTTTTTTTTAAAAAACTGTATGTGTTGTATATAAAATTAAATAAATAATCTTGGATCGTTATCGTGACTTTCCCAGTGTTTCCCACGTACTAAGATAAAGAACAGAAGCAAAATTGGTAATTCCAGGGACCATGAACAAAAGAAGAGAAAAATTGTGATTAGAGAAAATAAAATTCTTTTTAATTCAAATTAAAATCAATCCAGAGTAATGTGACATATGAGAATCCTTCTTGTGGGAGCTGCTTTCATTAAAATCCACAACCCAGCAAAGTTTTCTAATCAGTGAGCTTGACTGTATGCACTGTGGTGAATTGGGGGAAGGCTTTAGGACTAAGTTGGGGTATCTACTGTTGTATACATAACCTGGTTACGTTTCCAGAATCAAAAAGTAACTGTCTACTTTCACATCTCATCTATGCAATGTCCGCTCACTAGTAACAAATAGTACTTAAAACATATAATTGGCGACAATCTGCTCTGTCCTGAAATTTTCATATGCAATTCTCACTACAGGGTATTTGAAACATGTGTGATGACCTCTCACATTATGCAGCAGAGTCTCCCATTTGCAGTTTCAGGTTAACATTTAATTTAGCCATGTGGATTTCTGCCTAGTTTGTTATTTAAGACCCAGTGATTAAAATTTACAGTAGCTTGATAGTTAAACAGGCAACACTTTCAAGTCAGTTTCAGATAATCCACATGCACTAAACATGCAGCAGTACATGCAACATGAGTTACTACAAACATTTCCTTTTCGTAATTGCTCAGCTAGCAATTTCTTGCATAGTTTAGGTGTAATCTACTGCAGATCGAAGTCTTCGAAATCTGAGAGCATTCTCCATTTAAAACCTTAATCTTACAATCTGCACAGAATTATGATTACAACCTGAAGAACATTCTGAATATCCTTTTCCACTACAAAAATCAATCAATGTGGCCTCCACCATCATCACACTAAGCTATATAATAATTGTGGTCGTGCAACATTGGACCTCATTGTTTCCCAAGGCTATTTTTAATATCAGCTAATTCTCTTGCCTGTAAAATTTATGGGCTGGAACCATTCCACAACTTCTCAAATGTTCTTAGCATTAAATATTCAAAAGCATCAGATTGAACCCACCTCAAAAACCCAGCATAGCCCCTTTCTGGCACTGAGCATCTGGGAGCTAAGCTGTCATAGAATCACAGACTTGTAAAGTTGAAAGGGACCATGAGGGTCCCTCTGCAATGCAGGAATATCCTTGCCCAGTTTGGGGCTCGAACCCTTCGGCCTGAGATTAAGAGTCTCATGCTCTACCAGCTGAGCTATCCTGCACCATAATACTGTTGGGAGCCTGAAAAAATAAAATAAAAAACCACTGTGGGTGCATTCTTGACTAAAAACATAAAAAGAGTAAAAATCAACAAATAACAAGAGATGCTTCCATCTCAAAAGGGGGGGGGGAGGTGAAGCCTTTGGTTATAATTATTGCAGTCATTATGACAATCGTGCCACCAAAACAGCACTCCATATAAAAGGAGTCCCCTTTATGGGGTTGATTCACTGGCCTGCCTGAATGTTCTCTCCCCTTTTAGTCCAGATAAGGCCGCACCTGTGCTAACTGAATGGATCCTCTAAATTGCTTTGCGTAAGCACATGTGTCAGGACACCACACTGCCTAGTTATTCAATCGTGGGCTGAGCATACGATGTGCAAAGCTGCATTTTCGGCTTGCAGCAGATGATTTGCCATGACCACTACCAATGCAATCCCGGCAGGGGAGAAATAGTGCCCAGCCACATCTCTGACTACAGCAAGTCTCTGTGTCCTGTTCCTCTGCACAGTCTTAGGCAGCGGCTTCTACCTGCCCCTCTGACTTTTCTATGTCCTAACTGTTAATACTGTGGCCAATTTTGAAGGCTTTTGTAAGGAAGAAAGCACACAATCCATGCACCTGCAATTAAAAGTAAGGCTGTATAAATTCTGTGTAAGACCCAACAACTGGTATCAGGTGTTTCTCCCCCCCCCTAAAAAAAAAAAGGATGTTTCTATGTGCTACGATTGCAAGATAGCCTTGAGAATGGATTTCCAGTAGCCAATGTTCCTGTTTGCTGCAGAGTTCTCTCACCACAAACTTTATGAGCAAAGTGAGACTGCAAACCAGCCAAATAGTCTTGCTTAATGTATGCAGCTGGCACATAATTTGGGCTGCTCTGGTGCCATTTGTTTCAGTTGTGTGAAAACTATATGAAAGATATAATTTACATTGCAGCCTTCTAGAGCCCAGACTATATGGTTAAAGACAGGACAAACCCTTCTTCACTGCATTCTCCTAGTCCAAAAATATTACATTACACTTCTTTTTTGAATCTGTTAATCCAATCGAGCTACGCAATCTGACTGATATGGTTAACGAGAGCTCTTGAATCTAGATGAACTCTGGGTTTAATCAATAAGCCATAAGAGTCATATCTGAACACAACCACAAAACAGAGCATGGTCTTCATACACTGACTGGCCAGCAAGCACTTGCCAACAAGAAGTCCCATTAGGGGAAAAGGTGGGGTATAAAGAAATATATAACAACACAACCAACAGCAACAACAACAACAACAACAACAACAACAACAGGAAGCTTCAGGGTCATCTCAGTCATACGCGAGACGTTGCAGTACTACTACTCTGATTTAATACAGAATACCAACTATTTTCTTCTGTTAGATGCTGAGAATGCCAGATACTGCATAAGCTGATTGGATCAGGACACCAAGAGAATGTGAGAGGGGGAAACGGTAGCTTGAAAAAGAGAATTCATTACAGGCAAGAGAAAATATTCTCTGATTTCACACAGGATGCTTTTGAATTATGCTGGGTGGCTTACCTGAACATATTAGCATAGAAAGACATGGTGCTCTTCAGTCCTGAAACCTCTGGTTTGACAAAACTGAAGCAAGTTTCATGAGCAAATATTCTGGAGTGGTGTGGTGCAGAATGAGGAAGCCTGTTTACTATATGCTGCAGACTTGGTGGGTACTGGCTACAACACACTCTCTGTTTTAAGAGGCTGCTCCACCATTCACAAAGTACCTTTAAGTAAACATTCTACAAAATTATTTGTGCTGCTGAAGAAAAGACACTTCTACTATTGTAATCTGTTAATCCCTGTCAGATATATGTAATCTGGTTAGTAACTGTTCCGCAGAAATTGCAAAACCAGCGTTTTGATATCTTGATGTTGGGTTTAGTAGATAAACCCAGAGCTGACTAATATAGTTCAATACAAAATTGCAAGAATTCAGAATCTGATAATGAGCATCTGCTAACAGTCTTCGGACCGACTCAGCCATTCTGAGATTCTTCAATTCCGAAAGAATAGGCACAATCCTGACATTCGTTTTTCCTATATCGCCCTTTCTAAAAGCTTACTTTTCTTTTGCAAGTATGAAGCTTAACTTATCAGACAGGATTGAAATGTCAAGTGGAGACCCTGAGCTAAAGCCATGTGCCCAGACGTTTGATATATTGGTTATTTGTTTGGACAGATCAAGCTACCATCACAGAAAGGAAAGAAAAAGACAAGATTAGCTCAGTTCATTGTTGGAAAAGAGTATTTGAAAACTTGCTAGCTACAGTTCATTTCTTTCCATTTTGCTCCCTGACTGGAAGAGAAATGAGAAGTTCTTCAGTGTCTTTACTCACGGGTACTTTTCAGTTGAGTTCTGCAGACTTTAAAAAGCAATATTAATTCAGAGAGAGAGAGAGAAATAAGATTAAGTTTCAGTGATAGCACAGCAAAATGTCACTCAGCTGAATTCCAGCACTGCCTCTAGAGTGGTCTACTGGGGGCAACTGGTACACAAAATTCCTCCCCCACCCCATCAGACCTAAATGCGCGTGCAAACATCTAATTGATGAACAAATGCTCAAGAAAATTAAAATGGAAAAAGGACCTGTTTCCTCAAAATATTATTTCTAGAGGCAGCCTTAAGGTTGCAAACCACAGCTCACCTGCAATGAAAACAAAGGCAAACGTCGCCAGAGTCAGCGAGGAGCCGCTGCTGATCATGTTGATGAACAGCTTGAACAAAGGATATAGCAACAATATGGCCCAGAAGAGCCAATTCAATAGAGTCCACGGCCGCCGGGGTGGCACTATGGGAGTGCCAGGATAGGCTCCTGTTCTGTAGTATTCCTCTTGAAAAGAATCCTGGTTAGGGCAAAGGAGGAGAGAGTGAGAAGATGTCAAGGGGCCCAGAGCATGCCCATCCCCTCAAGAGTTTCCAACCAGGCCTAGCAAATCTCCTTGTTCACCTTAGTAACTATTTTTGCCACACCGTCACTCACTTCTACCTTAGCGCAGGAACCCAAGAAATGATATGTGCACAGGGAGAGAACCACACATGCGACCTAAGCTTTGAATTCCCTTTTCTCTGAAATGGATCCCACTAATAAACAAGCTACTGTGCAGTTTTAAATGCTGCTGCTATAGAAACTGCTGTGGTGAGCAGCAGAAGTCCAAGGAACAGATACATAGACATGCACATAGCCATCCTTTGGATTCCAACTGGCTCCTGCAGAAGGTTTGATCGCCTCTGATCTCTTGGTGGACATTGTGGAGGAATATCACAGAGGCAACCAGCTTGCCTGTTCCCCGCTCTTAGTTTGTCAGTCACCAACTCTGCAGTTTTAATGAGCCCTTATCTCCAAGAGATTTATAATCAAAAGAGAAGAATATTTACTGATCTTGGTGTAACATTTTGCAACATCAACATAGTTAGTTTCTAGTTGCTGTACAAACCAAGCAGTAAACATATTGGGGGGGGGGATAGTACACATAAACAAATCCTTCACCTACTGCAGCCTTGTGTCACTTTCTAATTTTAATAATTTGGGAATTGATTTATGCGCTTAAGTTTCTGGGGAACAAAACAACCCATTTGGGGAAGTTCTGCTGCTTAAGTTACTTTAGATTATTCAGATCAGATAATATGTATTTTTGGGAAAGACACATAAGAGGCCTGAGGGTTATTTCTAGCTACCAACCATGAGAAACTCCTCATTTCCAAATTGGTTTTGATGAAGCAAGGAAATGAGATATAATCCAGAGATCTAATCAAGTCTGCAAGCACCTCTATAATACATTCTTCTTAGATTCAGCTTCACAAGGAAATTTGTCTTTTCCATTTATTTAGTGTGTGGGGGGGGTTGGGTTTCCGCCAGAAAATGGCTCTTTTTTTTTTTTTGGTACCACTGGTGAAATACATTGCATGCTTATTTCTGTCCATTACAGTGATCACAATTTGAACATATTCCATGCTATTAGACCTGCTACTGGGCAACCTCATGCCAGCTCCCCCCCCCCTTTTATTATGTGTCAGGACTGGTCGTTGTCCTCTTCAGATCACCACACAAACACTTCTTGTTCTTTTCTAACTTTTTATTGTGTATTAACAAACAAACTTTTAAACGATCCTTATCTTTAACTATTCTTCCTCAGAGTCACTTCTTTCAGATACCTTCTGAGCTCTGCTTCTCCATGACCAGCCACCCTCAAAATGGCGAAGGCGCCCTTCCCTTCGCTTTCCCGCTTTTTTTCCTCACCTCCTGGCTAGAGCTGGCTTGTATCTCCTCCTCCGAATCTGAGCTAGAACTTAACCCTTGCCTTTCCTGGGAACATCCTGTTGTTCCTGTTGCTCTCTTCTGTTAGATTCACTGCTCTCTCCCCCCCTTGGGGAAAACATTCTCCCTCTGGGAAACTGGAAACTTCTAACTCTTCCCTGACATTATGTGAGCAAGAACCTACCCACCCCTTCCTTCCTGGTTATTATCATTTTGTGTTGTTGAAAGTGTTCTAAAACACTTAATAAAGCATATAAATCAATAAAAACCCGAAGTATGTATTTTTCCTTCCAAAAAGGCACAGAAGGAATATGCAAATTATGGAGGACTTTGAAGATGTGACTTCCTTTGTACGTTCAGGGAGAGTTAAACATTTGAGAATCTCATTCTCCAGGTATCGGGAACAAACTACATGGGAGAATATCAACATCATTCTAGACTTGTGAGCATCTAGAGGCATTAGACTGACTTCTTTTGAAAACAAAAAAGCTGGACTCAATGGGCCTTGAGTGGATTCAGAGTCACAATTCCTCTCTTTGTAGCACAATATCTTAACAATATCTAATCAGCTTGAAGCACTATCAGCCAATTGTTCAAATATACAGATTAATTCAAACTAACGGATGGTAGATTTGAAATGGGGAAAGGGTTTTTGGGGGGCTTTTTTTTTTAAGGTTCTGCATGCCATTATCTTGTGCATGGTTCATGGCAGAGCACAATAATTAAAGTCCTACTAGCAGGAAGAAGGGGGATGCGGGTGGCGCTGTGGGTTAAAGCCTCAGCGCCTAGGACTTGCCGATCGAAAGGTTGGCGGTTTGAATCCCCGCGGCGGGGTGCGCTCCCGTCGTTCGGTCCCAGCGCCTGCCAACCTAGCAGTTTGAAAGCACCCCCGGGTGCAAGTAGATAAATAGGGACCGCTTACCAGTGGGAAGGTAAACGGCGTTCCGTGTTCTGCGCTGGCTCGCCAGATGCAGCTTGTCACGCTGGCCACGTGACCCGGAAGTGTCTGCGGACAGCGCTGGCTCCCGGCCTATAGAGTGAGATGAGCGCACAACCCTAGAGTCTGGCAAGACTGGCCCGTAGGGGCAGGGGTACCTTTACCTTTACCTAGCAGGAAGAAAGCAGCAGACTTATGCTCTGTTGCACAGGGTGTGTGTGTGTGTGTGTGTGTGTGTGTGTGTGTGTCTCCCCTGCCTTGCCTCCTCGATTTCTAAACACAAATTAGGGTGAGCAGATTCAAAAGAGAACAGGGCTTCTCCAACTTTTAATAGTGGTGTAGAAGAGGGGATTTCAGCAGGTGTAGCTTGCTGCTGATATCCTTTCTTCTACATCATTAAAGGTGCAGGAGCCCTGTCTTCCTTTTGCAACTGGCTACGCCAACACAGATGCAGAGTTTCTGCTGTTTAAAATGCATTAGGAAACACAACTACTGCAGGAGACTATCTGCAAAGAGGCTGGAAATCCATGTAGAGCCTTTTATCATTCGAAGAGCTGCTGAATAATAAACCAACCTTCTCTTGATAGAGTTTGTGAAGCCATTTAGAACATTCCTGCTCATCTTCTGGGATTTCCTCTAATGGAATCCGCCTACAAAGGATAAAGAGGAGAGAAAGAGAAAACCGCTTGCTAGCATTTGCTATATAATTAAAACCAACAATTATTAAATTAGAAGTGGGCAAATGCGTACAAATTCCAATCTAAAGCCATATGCAATCGAATCAAGAGTGCATCAAAATGTATTAGCTGGTACAACTTGTACAATCAACTGTTTGGGTTAAGTATATTAAGGAAGGAAATAGCAAAGGGAATATACTTACCTTACATATAAATCTGCCTGGTATTTTTTCCCATTTAAAACTCCCAGCAAAGTTGGATTCTCATTATTTCTAAAGTTCAGTGTAGAATCATACACGGCTGAAACTACAGAGGAAGAGAAGACACCACACGCTATGATTGCTGTCACAGACTGATTTTTAGCACTACTGAGCTAACTCAGGGAGCATCACTTACAAGTCTCCTGCCTCCATCCAACGGTGGAAAATAATCACTTGCTATAGGCAGAGATGGTGGTTTATTATGTATTTACTTTTAAAAATACATACTATAACAACTGATAGGGAAGGACACTCAGAGGTAGGAAAGAAAGTGAGCTGCCTATCAAAAAACAAATTAGAGCTCGAATCAGTCAAAAGGACAGATCCGGAACCACAAATTACACATAGCAAATGAGTGTTAGAGCTGTAGAAAGGCACATGGTAATATCTTGACCAGTGTGTGGCTGGAGCAAACCAACACCTGGCTCTCCAGGATGTTGGATCTGCCACATGAGACATTTTAAAGAAGCGGCAACCCAGTGTGTGGTGTGACGTCTGCAGTAGCAGATGGCTGAAGACAGGAGAAAGGCTTAGTGCCTAACACAACATATGCAGCCACCTGCAAACCTTCTCCTGAGGGTGGAGGAAGCACCTCAGCAACTAGGTGCAATGGATACAGCAGCCACACCATGTCCTGCACACACCAAGCCAAGGGAGGCAAAAGGTGGATACCGTACTTTTCTCTCTATAACACACAGATTTTTTCTCCTAATAAGTAAGGGGAAATGTCTGTGTGTGTTATTGAGCAAATGTGTGGTCCCTGGAGCCGATCGCGCGCGTCAGGGAGGAGGGACGCCTGAAGAGAGGAAGCTGTTGCTTTCCTGCATTCTACCTCAGGGTCTTACTGCCCACCCTCTTCTGTTTTGGTTGCTGTTTGCTCAAACAGAACAAAGAGCAGGCAAATCCCCTCCCCTCCAGGCAAGCAGAGGGGAAAGGCAAGGATCACGTCCTTCCTTCTAATTCCTCTCCCTGCTGCTGCGTCCAGGGAAGCATTTTAGGGACTCGCAGGCAGCCGGAAAACATGCAGGTGGGGGAGAGAGAGAGAGAGAGGGCTGGCTTGGGTGGGGGAAAACTTTTGCCTTCCTTTTCCTCCCTCCCATTAAACCCCTCTCCTGCATTCTTAGCCAGCTGCTTCTCTGCACACCCCTCTCGTGCTCCTTGTCCCTTCGGTGTTTTTCCTTCCCTCCCCACTTAAAACGTGGTTACAAAGCATGGATCCACATGGATCCTCAGGATCTTTGCATTGGGTCACCCCAAATTCACCATCAGATCACATAGCATGTCCATGGCTACAGCCTGCACCAAAAAAATCACGCACCCACTGTTGCCTGGGGCTGCAATGGTGAAAAAAGTGGTTACAAAGCACAGATCCACAGGGATTCTCAGGATTTTTGCATTGGGCTACCCCAAACTCACCATCAGATCACATGTCTGTGGCCACAGCATGAGGCACAAAAATGATACACCCACTGTTTCATACAGAATTCCCCCCCCTTGTTTTCCTCCACTAAAAACGATGTGCGTGTTATGGTCAGGTGCGTGTTATAGAGCGAAAAATACGGCAGTTATTTATTGACAAATGCATACACACACACAAGCCCTTAAGGTGCACCAGATACACATGCACAAACACGCATATGTTTTCCAGGTTCTTGTACCACAGAGCAAGGCAAGAGCATTCCATGAGAGCATCCTAGGAAAACATGGGATTTCCTATCCCTTCTCCTGCAATATACTTGGTATTCAAAACGGTGGAACTTCTGCCAAACTGAGATCAGACAGGCCCACTCCTGGCTACACTCAGACTCTCTAATTCCAGCAGGCTAAAAACCTAAGGTGATGTACAGGTTCCTGTTTGGTTTTATTATGTTTTTATTGTTTTGTGCTATTATAAAAGCTACTGATTAAACGGTGCATAAAAACCTGAAATAATAAATAGCCGGTTTTCAGTTAAACTATCTGGTTGTCCAAAAATCTTACAGTCAGAAGACGGGCAATATTCCAGTTCATTTCAAACAAATTCAAAGACTGTTTTAGCAATAAGAAGCATGCTATGTCTTGCATCCATTTTGTAGGCATATACAGCTGCCTGGGAGAATGGCAGAAGATAGGAAGAAAAGAAGGTGGCATCTTGTTTAGAGCACATTGTCAGTTAACAATCTCATTCCCATTCCGAAGGCTGATCATGTGAATGTAGGGAAAGGACTGCAGCTCCAGGAATCCAGCAGACCTAAACTGCTGCGAGTAAAATGAAGATGAAAAATGGCCTCTAGAGGTTGTGCTTTCACTTTCTGGAAGTGATGGGTAAGCCAGTAACTTCTACAACAGTAGCGTGCAAGTCCGTGATACAAGATGAACTGACAAATTGAATTAGAGATCTAAGGAAAGTGCAGAGAGCTTTATACACCAATTAAAATGGTCCTCTGAAAGGAAAGAACTGTAGTGCTTGTTTGGCTGAAAGTAAGTAGAGCTAATGATCCACAATTAAGCTTGTCAGTTCATATCATTCTGGCACCAGACTCCACAGCCCTATTTGTCATTGATCTTTTAACTCTTGACTATCTGGATTTTTGCTGAACATTTCATTCAGGATGGAAATTGCTGATATTTTCTCACCAGGAGCAGTCAAACTCCTAAATATTTTGAGTAATTTACCTTTCACAGCAATCTTGCTTGGACCATCTGTAAATAGGTCAGTATACAAAAAAAAGTGTGTGTGTGTGTGTGTGTGTATTTAAAATCGAATAATGCAAAACCACACATATCCCTCCCTACACTGATGTTACAACCCAAAATGGGCTTATTTTAGCTTGTCCAACAAAAACCACTGAATCATTTGAAGTTGTATGGCATAAATATGAGGGCAGGAGAGAGTCCTAAGCACCTCTTCCCTTTGAAATGATTTTTTTTAAAAAAGAAAACAAATCAGAGAGCTCTGAAAGAAATGGAAATCTGAATAGATATACATCCCAAAAAGAAAAAGAAAAAAGAAAAGTACAGGTCAGGAAATGATGGACCAATAAGCTTCTCTATAACGCTATATGCTATTACCTCAGGGCATCTAATAGCAGTCTATTTACCCAGGAAAATGATTCTCACATATATTGTGCTAAAGAACAACACATAAAGCAAGGAAATATAAACTGGAGAGTTCATGCCGTACCTTTGTGCCAGCAAGCAAAAAAAGATTTGGAACAACCAAACTGAAATTAGGACAAAAGGGAAGGAATGATGGATGTTGCTGAAAAACAAATCCCATCATCCATGGCCATTGACCATGATTGTTGGGGCGGATGGGAGCTGTAGTTCACCTATCTGCATTACAATGCAAATGACAAAAAGAAAACCCAAGAGTAAGTTAAAACATATCAATTTTGCAAAATTATCAAAATTTAAAATAACATCCCCCAAATAGTTTAGATTTTTAAAATCCCCTTGACAGTTGACACTGTTTTGAGCCAAAAAGGTAGCCTATAACTTTCTCACTGTTGACACATAGATAACTATCTTGTCTAGAGAAAAAAGTCATGGGAACCATGGGTTCATTTGGATGATCATGTCTCAGCTTTAAAAACCACACAATGAACAAACATACTCTTTCTTTCCTCCCTCCTAGCAAGAGCAATTAAACCAGGAAGTCTTCTGTTAACTAAAATTCCTGGTTCATTTGGCCTCATAGGCCATGGTTAACAAGCTTCAGAACAAGCCAGAATATTGAGCCAACCTCAAACCATGATTTAATATCCTGACTTGGGAAACTGGTTGATGGAAGACTTCCTGGCTTGTTTGCTCCAGCTGCAAAGGCAAGGATGAAGGAGCTTCATATGCAGTCATGTCTTGTTCGTATCTCCAGTTATTAAGCCAAAATACAATGGTCAGAATGCAGTCATTTGGAGCAGGGATTTGATGGAAGGGAAGTAGCGTTATTTTGAAATTATCACGAGTAAATTATCACGAGTAAGCAGAACTGCCATTAAGCCTTTGCAGAAAAACTGTTGGTCTAATTTAGTGGCTGATGTGAACCAGTGGCAACTGCTGCTTCTGTTTTAGTTTAGACACATATTTAGTTGCAGTATGCAGATAACTCTGAAAAAAGATTTCAAAATAATATCTTGGAAACTTTTCCTTGTGCAATTCCTTACCTACATTTCTCAAACACTGGACGGTGACAGCAAATCCCTTTGTCCGTGGCAGCAGGTGATATTTGAGCTTGGGTAGGCCTTTGGCTTCAGCTACCTGCATGCTGATTTTGTGTTTTTGCTCGGTGAACCTGGTGCCTTCACAGTGAATCAAGAACTGAAAGAGAAATATATATATATATCCAAAGAGCTTGATAAGGAAGATAAACCGACTAAAGAAATAACAATGCAATGAATTCATTACATTTTGTTGTATACCAGTGGACAGTGTACACAGATGAAAACAAATGACTACTTCTGATGCAGTATGTTAATGCAGCATTTCAGATAAATCACAAAAGTGCAGCTGTCTCCAAAGGCATTAGGAGAAAGCCTAGCCACTAAGAAAGATGCATCAGGCTGCAAAGTGCGTTACGCAGCACGAGTGTGGAAGCATGGATGACTCACATGGCTCTTATGCATACCACAATGCTCTTTCCAACTATCTGCCAAATCTGGTCTCTGTCTTAAATAGCTTGACACAGAATAGCTCGGTATCACTGGGGGTATTTGCTTCCAGAGGCAAATACTAGCTTCGTAGGAAGGAGCTTCCCCAAGACCACAGCAGAACATGCCATTAAGTACCAGTCCCACCCATTCATCTCTAGAGCTCAGCCCTCCCTTCAAGTGAGGCCAAAGAGAACTGGAAGGTGCTTCATGTGGACTGTGTAAAAGAGGGGTGACTAATGTCTTCAACTTTGGAGGAACAGATCTTCCCCAGGCAACCTGCCCCACCTCCCAGGGATAACATAAGGGTCTAACTTTAAGCTAAAAAAGAAAAAGAGCACAGGAGAACCATGCTCCACTCCTTCACAAAGGTGCCACTGAAGAGGTCTCTAAAGCAGGCTTCCATTTCCTTATGGGAAATGTTCCTTCTGATAGGATGCTCTCATGCTCCTTTTGATCCATCCAGGATCACTTCCTATGCAAAATCTCTTGGGCAGCTGTACTGCACTGCCCAGCCAGAAAGAAAAGCAAAACAAACTAAAAAATCAGGACTGCTGCTCACCTGACAAGCACCATTCTAAGCTGCAAATGAGAGTTCACCTTTTTGGTGCCTGTCAAGTGCATAGTGGCAGCTTGCCAGCCCAAAATGGTGGAGGGGACTGGAGAAAGCTAAAGTACAGGCCAGATACAGCCTACAGGTCTCCTGTTGGCCACCCTTGTCCTAGAACAACCACACAAGCCTCTAAAATGCTGGAGTTCTTTGGCAAATCAGCTGGTGTGGAAGGGGTTCCCTGAAAAAGGGTAAAAGAGTATTTCTGTTCCAAATTCAGAGTTATTACATTTTAATGGTTTTTGTGCGTCCTAAAAATATATGTTTTCTACTCTACTGCCAAGTGTTTTACCCAGAAGTTTTCAGGATAATCCCGGAGATTGAGTAGGGCTTCCACGACATTTTTCCTATCTTCCTCCCACTTTCGCGTGCAGAAAACTATCTCAAGGAAGTACCACATCCAGCCAATGATTGGCATAGAAGCAAGCTCTTTCTTTGCAAGTACTTTGGAACTCTGAAAAACAGAAGAAAAGGCAGAAGAGAATAGTTTATTTAAATAAAAGGCAATATATCTGTAACAAGAGGGGGGATAATTAAAGAGACACCTGTACACTTTTTTATATACATTCATGCATCTCTTTGGAGAGAGCATCACTGGAATAACATTGCAGCAATGTGCTCCAAATGCCCTCAGCCAGACAACACCCTGGTCGCTGTGCTTTGAATTAATCATTACTATTACAAAGCAGGGACATGCAACTTGTTCACAGTCCACCAACCTAGTACAGCATCTTATGAAGAAGGGGATAAATATCTTGGTTTTGTTTCTTGCTCGAGATTACTCAAACAGGAGATTGGCAAGCACTTAGCTGGCCACAGTATACAACTGATTGGTAGGTTTGAGATCAGGTCTGCATAACCTGTGATATACTACCATGCAACATTGAGCTCATCCTTTTCTTCAACTAGTTCTACTCTTCCAAGCCAATAAAAGTTATAAAAATGCCAATTAAAAAAAAGAAGATGCACAAAGACACAGCCCGAAATCTAAGTGACCTCCGATTTGCTTCATAGAGTTCCTGTAAAGGGCAATTGGTTGAAATACTAGTCAAGACTCACCCCTAAGACTCCAAATCTTTCGCAAAAGTTCCAGCTACAGAGAAAGTCAATTTCAAAGTTGTGATTAAGGATTACTATGGCATTCTCTGTCCCGTACTTTTCATAATTCTGGGGATCCGTGTAGAGGGTACAAGTTGTGCCCGACCACCATTCCAGCAACATCACCAATTCTGGAACGAACAAACAAATCAACGAATACACATTTATAACATAACCAGAGGTTTTGTTAGAGTATTCATTCTTGATTCCTCAGAACATATTTATATATTTCTTATATTTATATCCTGTCCTTCCTACCAAAGCAGCCCATGGTGAAAATGGATAATTATTGTCTAAGCAGAATCCTGAAGCACCAACAAACCAAATACAATTATACACAAAGAAGGCCTGGTTGTAGGAAACATAGAGATCATTATATCCCTTTAAAAGCACTGGATGAAGGACTTAGGTCATAGAATCATAGAATTGTAGAGCTGGAAGGGACCCAGAGGTTCATGTAGGAATCATTGCAATGCAGGAATATGCAGGAATATACAGCGGTACCTCGGGTTACATACACTTCAGGTTACAGATGCTTCAGGTTACAGACTCCCCTAACCCAGAAATAGTACCTCAGGTTAAGAACTTTGCTTCAGGATGAGAACAGAAATTGCGTGGCGGCAGTGGGAGGCCCCATTAGCTAAAGTGGTACCTCAGGTTAAGAACAGTTTCAGGTTAAGAACGGACCTCCGGAACGAATTAAGTACTTAACCCAAGATACCACTGTACAGGGATCCAACCCCCAGGACCCTGGTGTTTTCAGAGTCACACTCTAACCAACTGAGATCCTGGATTTAGTTTTCTGTGGGGTTCTTTTATTTTTCACCTACCCTTTTATATTACTGTGAATAGTGTGGAACAGAAGACAGATCTCAGGAAGGGGGACAGCTGACAAGCAAGGTAACTAGGAACTGATCTTTTGCAATACATTCCCATGGGGGAAAAACATGCATTCAGGCAAGAACAGCTTAAAAGCTTTTGAGATAAGACTGCTATGGTACTACTGTCAGTGCCACTCAATTTATTTATTTATTTTTAAATAAATACTTTGATTTTTTCCTAGAACAAAAGTATTTCTTATCCAAAGTGAATTATAAAATTTAAGGGGTAAATAGACCTGCATCCCAAACAATGGTTGTGCCACATAATTTAAATGTGTTTTTTGTGGAGGTGGGACAATTTAAAAGTGGGGGGGGGCTCATTCCCCTGTCCGTTGCTTTGTCCCCCACCCCACAGTTATGGTTCTCCAAGATGAACTTAGTTCGAAATGGTTAACAAAATGGCCCTTTTAAAATGTGGGGGTTTGGGGGGGGTATTGGGTTGTTTTTAATTTTTATTATATATTTTGCGATTTTATATTCTGATTTTGTTGTGTGAACCGCCCTGAGACCTCTGGATATAGGGCAGTATATAAAATACACATACATACATACATACATACATACATACATACATACAAGGTAAAGGGACCCCTGACTGTTAGGCTGTTAGGTCCAGTCGCGGACGACTCTGGGGTTGCGGCGCTCATCTCGCTTTACTGGCCGAGGGAGCCGGCGTACAGCTTCCAGGTCATGTGGCCAGCATGACTAAGCTGCTTCTGGCAAACCAGTGCAGCGCATGGAAACCTTCCCGCCGGAGCGGTACCTATTTATCTACTTGCACTTTGACATGCTTTCAAACTGCTAGGTTGGCAGGAGCAGGGACCGAGCAACGGGAGCTCACCTTGTCACGGGGATCCGAACTGCCAACCTTCTGATCGGCAAGTCCTAGGCTCTGTGGTTTAACCCACAGCGCCACCTGCGTCCCTACATACATACCAGAAAGAAGAAAGGGAGGCGGGAATGGATATATGAATCAGGAATAGCAACTTATTAGAATCTCAGTTGAACTACAGAACTTCGCCGAGCAAGGGGAAAAAATTTAACCACCCACCCACCCACCCAAAACCTTCTCCTTTACATTTCGCACTACACTCCTGGAGAGATGAAGCAGGAAGAGCAGTGTGCCAATTGCATACCGATGACAACAGACTCCAAGTCCCCAGCTGATCTAACTTACTTATTTAATGCTAAAAAGCATGGGGCATAAAGATGGAACCCAAAAATGCAAATGCCATGGGGTAAAGCAGAAATCCCCAAGCATGGTTTTTTGGAGACAGCCATCCAGGTATAAATGGAACCATTGCAATGCCAGTACTGCCACCTCAGACAACTGTTCCTGATGGATATGAAAGATCAATAGTATCAGAAACCACTAAAAGATCAAGGAGAGATCAAAGGGGTCACCTTCCCCACATCTTTCTCCTGATAGAAGGAATCCCACTAGGCAACAAATGTTTTTTTCCCCTCACTGCCAAAACCAGACCAAAAGAAGCAGATCTAGAAAAATTAGCTGCATCTAAGAGTGCTTGGATCTGGTTGCCCACCACTTCCCTCCAGCTTCTTTCCCAAGAAAGGGACATTTGCCATCAGCCTACTATAGATATTTAATATTTTGGTACGTATTTAAAAAATGTATCAAAAGAGTGTTCAGACATGAAATTATACACTGTCAAGAGTCAGCACGAATCGCCTTCTTCAGAACTTGGATACAGAAACTTCAAACAACATTTGATTTTAGTGCCTGAAACAACCGTGAATGCAAAAAGCAAAACAAAAAGCATTTCCCCTACTAAGGATTAAAGCCACGTAGAATATCAACCCCGACTGAAGCTCAAAATAGTTCTCTCAAGTGCACTTGAAAAAATGACATTTAAATCAGGTGTTACTCTGCAGAATAGTAAAATGACTGCATAATTATCCTTCTGTAAACAGCACTCTTTGTACTCAAGTTTCTTCAGAAGGGGGGAGCAAAAGAAAGTGGGTACCATAAACAGGAATCCCACAACTCCATTATGCCAAAGCTTAGAAGACTTTTTATTCGAACAGACACAAATTTAGTACCATGAATGATTCAGGTCTCAGAATTAAGGGATTCAGATTTATCTGTTTACTTAACTGATGGCTTTGCTCCTCATGTTGCATTTTAAACTTGCTTCTACTGGTTTATTAGCATGTGTGTCGTACAAGCTACCATCACCCCCACACTCCAGGTATTGAGGTGAATATTTTGAACACAGTGAAAGAGAACTTAGAAAAAATGGGGAGAGGACAAGGGAAGATACTGTCATAGCCAAAAATTCCATTTTGTATACCATCCACAAAAAAGAAAAGCTGCCACTGCTTTGAATGTTGTTTTTTAAAAAGAATAAATATTTTATTATAAAACCCCCTTGATTTTCTGTTGAAGAGTGGTATGTAGGTTAATTAATTAATTAAATAAAATATAGCAACTCTCCCTGGATTTGTT